CATTCCAGTTTACATTTGGTACATAGTGGCAAAAAGCCAAAGCAAATGAATTCCTTATTGTGTACTGTCCACAAATATCATTTTGAAAAGTCAGATTACCAAAAAACACACCAACAACCTCAGCCAAACAGAATAGGTAAGTGTGAAACACAGTCACCGCTATCTTTATTATTAATTACTTATTTTTTAAGAACACATTTTGAATTCCTCTGTTAAAATACAGTTTCATAAATAAGAAAGGGATTTAAGCCAAATCTCTAACTTTTGAAAAGTTTCTTAAAAAGTACTTTCCCTTGGATAGATTTCATGCCCAGGAGTGACACTCCCCTTGTGATTAGCTTCTCAGAGGAACAGACTTAGGGTCAGTTCTTAACTGGTTCCTTTGCAAACCAACACTTCTGTCTTTTGATGATAGCTCCCTCTGAGATTTGTCTTCTGGGTGTGAAGCACACCCAACCTTGTCTGAGCCTTGACTCCTGACTTCAGTTCCTACCCTGGGGCCTTCAGTAATGAGAAGGACTGCCAGCACTCTGCTCTCTTGCATTTACCACTTGCAAGTGCTTTTTTTCACTAAAAGCTATTCTGAAGCCTGACAGACGCTACAGAAAGGCAGGCAAGAGAAAGTAGAGGTATGTTTTGATATCCGAATTAGTTATGTTAAAAAAAAACAGATAATGAGTTACATTTTCCCTACTAGAAGAAACTCTTCTATTGAGTCCTTATGCCGTCAGATTCTAGGACAGAGTGTAAGGCTGCTGATCCATGCTGATGGCTGACACAGAAGATCGATGTAGCTTCCACTCATGTTTGCAAAGGTCTGACTGTCTTTCTGTCAGTACTGTGGTAGAAGCTGGGTCAGAATGTCAGAATTCACAGAAAGTAAAATTGCCAAGGGAAGACTTGTATATGTGAATGAAATATTTCACTGAGATATCAAAAATTAATTTCTGAGAGCCAAGTCTCACAGAAAGAACACTGACTTAGAACTGCTCCACAGGAACCATGAGTAATTTGGCACAGGAGAAAACTTGCACATGTTGTGCATGTAAAATATCACACTGCTACACATTATAAAATGACATAACTGTCCTATAACCTATCCTGCCTCCTGGCAGTAGCTGAGTATTTTGACACTTGATCATCTCCTGAGGTCTCTTCCAACCTGAATTATTCTGATTTTTCCTTCAATGTCACTCACACTTGAATATTTTCATAGGAGAAGGACTTCCTAGGGTATGCAGTTGCAGCTAACTAACATATTCTTTTTCTTACATCCTCAAAGCAAGATTGTGAGGCTTAAACAAGCATAGCTGACCCGTAGGTTCAGATCAGTAATCCTTTTGTTATTTTTATGCAGGAGGTTAAATATTTTACTCAATTCAGTAATGAACTCTGAAACAATTCAATCATATCTTATTAGACATAACTGCAAACCACAACTTTAAGTTCTAAAGAGGGATAAAATGTGTTTTTCAAGTGTCCTACGAAGAATGTGAATACATTAATGTATCTTCTACTTTCTGTGGCTAAAGGGCTCTGAGCAACATAGAATCATAGAATCATAGAATCACCAAGGTTGGAAAAGACCTAAAAGATCACCCAGTCCAACCGTTCACCTATTCCCAATAGCTCCTACTAAACCATGTCCCTCAACACAACATCCAGTCTTTCCTTGAACACCCCCAGGGTCGGTGACTCCACCACCTCCCTGGGCAGTCCATTCCAGTGCCTGACCACCCTTTCTGAAAAGTAATACTTCCTCATGTCCAGCCTGAATCTCCCCTGCCGTAGCTTGAAGCCATTCCCCCTGGTCCTATCACTAATGACACGAGAGAAGAGGCCGACCCCCAGCTCACTACAACCTCCCTTCAGGAAGTTATAGAGAGCAATGAGGTCTCCCCTGAGCCTCCTCTTCTCCAGGCTGAACATTCCCAGCTCCTTCAGCCTCTCCTCATATGGCCTGTGTTCCAGACCCCTCACCAGCTTTGTTGCCCTCCTTTGAACACATTCCAGGGCCTCAATATCTTTCTTGCAGTGAGGGGCCCAAAACTGGACACAGTACTCGAGGTGCGAGTGGTACATGATTTAGCTGCACATGTCCTTGTTCATTGCAGGGGAGCTGGACCACAGTCCTTGAAGGTCCCTTCCAGCTCAAACGGATTCTACGATTTCCCTAAATCAGGTATTTGGGTCGTTTAACACCCAAATTCGGAGCCCTTTCCATTTATTAACTGCAATACGGTTCACTCCCGCTAGGTGCTGCTCTTCCTCCACGGTTTGAGAAGGAAGTTTTACGTTTCATGCTCGAGGGCATCTGAACCAGATTACCGCTGTGGTTGTTGTACCCACAATGCAAAAACCAGGCTCGTTCTTCATCCCAGCGTGGTGCCGCTGGCAGCCGTGATGGAAACCTTCTTTTAAGCACTGACTCAAAAAAAGCACCCACCCAAAAAAAGAACAACAGTCTAAACTCAAAAATGCCAAAAGAAAACTGGATCCCACCGTTAGGACAGAAGGCATCCAAAGCACAGCCAGTCCCAGTTGACAGCTAACAGCAAATGCTGTGAGTGCCTTATCTGAAGCAACTCATTCTCAGAATTGTTACGGTACCAACAGAGTTAAGGAAATTCGTATTTCCCATCATAAAGCTTAGCGTGTCCACCAGATCTCAGAAGCTCCCTTTCCTAGGGTCGTGTGCCTTCCATGATGCTCTGTGGCACTCCTGAATGTAACATTCAGTTTGTACCAGTAGCTCACTGAGTCTCCCACACAAAACGAGAATAAAACACAGAGGTTATGGCTGCGTTATGCAACCTAGTGACTGACATGCACATGAAAATAGTTGATACATTCATCCATTTTAATACCCCTGGATGAAGTCCAGTTCTCCTCATTGGAGACAAATATAGCCAAATATAAAGGGATAGAAAATGGAGAAAAAAAAACTATTATAAAATTTGGTGAAATTAGAAAAGAAACAACTGTTGGATGTTACAATAATCATAGCCTTGCAGCCAGGCAAAGCATCCTCACTTGCATAAAGCTGCAAGAGATGCCCAGAGAGGACAGTAATTCTGAGAAGTAGTTGCTTCAAAACTGGTATTTCAGTGCTGGGTTCATCCTTCAGTCCACAGCAGGCTGGGAGCCCTGGGCAGCCTGACCTGTTGTGTGGCAACCCTGCCCATGGCCAGAGGATCAGCTTTGAGGTTCCATTCAACCCAAGCCATTCCATGATTCTATAATTCTATGGTCAGCTTCCTTAATTAATAGATGAATTAAACACCCTATTTTTTATACAGAAGCATCTGCAAGAATCTTCCACTGCAAATTGTGCAGTGAATAATTGCCCTCAAGAGCATCACATGATCTCATCTCCTGGATGCACAGGCTGATCACAGTGCTCTCAGCAGAGCCCACACGAGGGAAGCTGAGTTTAAAATATGCACCTGTGGGAGGCTCCTGAAGTGGCTTCCTACTAAGGATGGCCGGGAGCAGAGTGATGCTGGGGGGAAACACCGCATAAAGGAACTGAGGCAAAAGTAACCCCATGAAGCTGCTGCCAGCAAACCACACTGTGATATTTTCATGTGCTTTAGTCTAGTGAATTGACTCTAAAATAGTGTAAGACAAAAAGATTCCCACCCTGGGCTAGTGGATAAGTGACATTATTTTTCTTTTTGTCTGCAATGACAAACTTGTGTACTCAAATGGATAGTAAATCAAACTCTTTCAGGCTTCTTGTACTTCCCCTGATCTTTACTAAACTACAGTTTTAACCCCAATCCTACTCTTCTCTCAAAAAAGAATAAAAAAATAAAAAGGAAGAATGAACCAAGTCATTAGTTGCAGCACATCATCAAAATATCAGATTAATCTACTGTGCCATTTTGCTCCCACAAATGAAAACACATGGTGGTCTGTGTGCTGGCAGCCTGTTTTTCCATTTGGAAAATGCAGTGTTCTCTGCTGCCTTATCCTTAGTCCTTTCCAACTGAACTCTTGAGACTCCTGAGTGACTCAAGCTCTCCCCATGCCCTGCCTCACCTCCCTGTTCTTGTCATCTGCTCCCTTTGCAAAACTCTTATTTCTCAACTCCCTCCCTTCTTCCTCTTCTCTGTGGCAAACTTACCTCGCTTTTTGAGAACTAGCTTGCCTTTCCTTCCTCCTCCATTTCTCCATTTTCAAAGTAATTTTAACGCCTGGCTCTGCACCATCTAATTTCTCGTTCAGTGGATTTGTTGTTTGTAGCACAACAGACTGGAAAGGGCTCCTTGGAAAGCGCTCCCTCCAGCTGCTCTTGGGCAAGTGGGCACGAGTGGACACCCCAGAGAAACTGAGCACACCACAGCAGCAGCTCAATGCTGTCGCTCGTAAAGAGAAAGAAAGGTGGATGAAATTCAAGCAAAGCACTGAAACATAATTTAAATGCTCCCTGCCCCTACATTCTAAATAGGCGCTTATGTTTCCTAACATACCCAGTAACTCCCAATCCAACCTCAGCTGTAAGGCCACCCGGTGACACCCGTGCTCCCCCCAACACACACACACACGGGTGCCACGGTAAGGTCCCCGCACCGCCGCTCCCGGTGCTACGTTCCTCACCAACAGCGGCCGAGGACGGAAGGAGCGGAACCGCGTCTCCGCAGCGCCCGGCGCCCGGCCTTAGGGAGAGGCAGGGCAGGACGGGGCGGGGGCCGGGGACCCTGCGTCAGTGCCGAGCCGCCGCCGTCCCCTCCCCGCGCGCTCGGCTCTGCCTCCCGCCGGCCTCCTCCGCCTCCCGCCGGCTGCGGCCGCGTACATAAACGCGGCCCCGCCGCAGCCGGGGCGCTCCGCTTGTAGTCCGACGGAGGCGCCCGGTCTGTAGCGCGGCCGCCCGGCTCCACGCACCGACGGGGCGGGGGCTCCGGCGGGCAACGGCCCCGCGGTACCTGCCGGCGGCAGCAGGAGGAAGAGGAGGAGGAGGAAGGCGGCGTCTCCCGCCCGTGGCGGGCTCCCTCGGCATGGCCCTGGCGGACAGCGCCCGCGGGCTGCCCAACGGCGGCGGCGTGTCGCCGGCGGCGGGGAGCGGGGCGACGGCGGCGGCGGGCGGCTGGTCGGCCTTTCCCGAGATCGTGGAGCTGAACGTGGGCGGGCAGGTGTACGTGACGCGGCGCTGCACCGTCGTCTCGGTGCGAGACTCGCTGCTCTGGCGCATGTTCTCGCAGCAGCAGCCCAGCGAACTGCCCCGGGACAGCAAGGGCCGTTTCTTCCTCGACCGCGACGGCTTCCTCTTCCGCTACATCCTGGACTACCTGCGGGACCTGCAGCTGGTGCTGCCCGAGCACTTCCCCGAACGCAGCCGTCTGCAGCGCGAAGCCGAGTACTTCCAGCTGCCCGACCTGGCGCGCCGCCTGGCGCAGGCTCGGGCCGCCACCGCCGCCGCCCGCCCCGCCGCGCTGCACCGCGACGGCTCGCTGTGCGCCGACGAACCGCCGCTGCTCGGCTGCTTGGAGGCAGAGCCCGCGGAAGGAGGCGCCGCGGCGGCGTCCGCGCCGTCGCCCACCGCCAGCCGCAGCCCCTCGGGCGGGCCGCTGCTGACGCCCTCGCAGTCACTGGACGGGGCGGGCGGGCGGCGCTCCGGCTACATCACCATCGGCTACCGCGGCTCCTACACCATCGGGCGGGAGGCGCAGGCCGACGCCAAGTTCCGGCGGGTGGCGCGCATCACCGTGTGCGGCAAGACCGCGCTGGCCAAGGAGGTTTTCGGGGAAACGCTGAACGAGAGCCGCGACCCCGATCGCCCCCCCGAGCGCTATACCGCCCGCTACTACCTCAAGTTCAACTTCCTCGAGCAAGCCTTCGACCGTCTTTCCGAGGCCGGCTTCCGCATGGCCGCCTGCTCCTCCACCGGCACCTGCGCCTTCGGCCCCGAGCAGGGCGGTCCCGCCGAGGACAAGATTTGGACCAGCTACACCGAGTACGTCTTCTGCAGAGACTGAGCCCCGCCCGGCGGCGCGGGGCTGCGCGGCCCTCGCACCTGCGGGGCTCCTCCGCCGGCCCCCGCCTCGCCTCACCGCTGCGCACAGCCCCGGAGGGCCCCGGGGGCGGGAGCCGCCGTGCTGCAGTCCGCTTTAGCTGCCGCGGCGTGGCCCGGCTGCCCTGTGCCCCCTCGAGCCCCCCGGTAGCTGTGTTGGGAGAGGGGAGGGAAGAGGTCACGGGTGTAGATAAACACCCCAGCCAGGAAGGCATAGGTGTGCCCAGCCCCTGCTTCTCCATGCAGTGCTGTCAGATTGGGGTGTAGGGACCAAAGAACTCTTTTCCGGTTGCTTTTCAGTGATTTCTGTTGAACTGGTAGGTGTCTTCTCTCATCCCCATGCTCAGACTGAGATTTTACCTCTTTGAGCAGGTTATGGCAGCCCGTTTTATGGCCCCTCCCATGAAGGCGATGCCAACCTGTGAAGGACAGCCATGTGGCGGTGATGGCTGCCTGTCACACTGGCATTGCTGCTTGTACTTAACCTGTAGAGATGAATAATTTTGCAGGAAGCAAGCTCTTTGTGACCAGATCCATCCGTGTCCATCTGCCCTCCCTCAGCCTCTGAACTTCCCAGACTGTGGAGCTGGGCCAAGGCCTGTGCAGCAGGAGAGTGAGGCTGCAGTGGAGCACTGTTCTTAGGATAACCAGCTGTCGAACTGTAGTGTCTGCAGAATCAAGGGGCAGTGCTTTGGGAACTTAAAATGCTGTGTACATTGTAACTTTCATGGGTGGCGTGAAGTCCTTGTAATTCTCTTGAAGTCTGCAATATGCATAGAAAATGCAGTGCATATTTCCTTAGCATCCTCCAAATTACCAGGGTGGGGTGACAGCTGGGATGCCATGGTGAAGGTGGAGCCTGCTTCTGTCATGGTGAAATTGTGTGTGTATGTTGAATAGAAGCAGATGGATTTTTAAGTGTAATCAAGAGTACCTTGCTTATTACTTTGAGTTTTGTCATTTTAGTGGTGTAAAATTTTGAAGCCAATGGAACTGATGCTGAAGCAACATTTTTAAGAAACAGTTTCTTGTTTTTCATGTCAGTATTACCTGGGAAGTGACTGCTGAGAGTTAAGAACCTCTCCTGCCACACAGCTCATTCTTAGAAAGGATTAAGCCCCATCCTTATGAAAGGGAGGTGACAGTATTCTTCAGGAGAAATTGCCCTTTAAGGAAGTAAAGTTGCATTGTGTTCATGCGACTTGGTAGTCTCTCTTGTAGAAGACAGCCACAGCTTGCTTTGCAACCTACGGCCCGAGAGTGGTTTGCACAGTGCAGAAAGTCAAGCAGTTCTTTCCAATAAATTCGTGAAGGTTTGAGTACAAAAGCACTTTAACACCTGATTTTGAAGCCTGTGTTGTCTGTTCAGATGGTGACAGAAAAATATCTTAAATGTAATGTTGAAAGAATTCAACATTTAACGCCTGAAGTTGCATTTTTTTTTTAAACTATTGATTAACAAGTTGATCATTCTAACCCCAAATTTAGAAATACTGCTAGCACTTACGTCTAACCAAAGAATTTCGTAGTAGGGTTTTATTTTTAAACCTTAGTTCCTTTGAAAAGAGCTATAGCCGCTTACGTACTGAGTTCCAGCGCTCAGTCTCCATGTGCATCACTTGGTCGTTCACTAAGTACATCTGCAGTTGCATAAAACTGAAAATAACTTCCACAGCCATGAGTTTTTTAATTGGCAAGATTGTTTATCAGTGTGACTGAAGTGATGATGCACATGCGAAAGCTCTGAATATTGTCCAGCTGTAGATAGATGTGTAACGGAGTATTTTTAAGTGTAGAGCAATGTCCATGTCTTGTTAGATGAGCAATAAGATAGAGTGAGAGGCCAATACACCTGAAGACAGATTGAAACCTGTTTGTCCTATGCCTTACTCTGAGATAATTTCTTTACGCTGCAAGTGAAAGGAGCTTGATCACAGCTACTAGGTCTGTACCATGTCATTCTCAAGAATAATGACTGTCTTTTTCTAATTTCTGTTAAGTAACTCTGAAGTATGTTTTTTAAAATTTTGTATAAAATTTCAGTGGAAGTGTTCGGATTCGCTCTAGATAGCTTTCTTTTTTTAAGAATCTGGTAGCTTATGAAATCCATCATAGAAGCTATGAGTAGGGGCAGTTTTGAATTGAACTTGTGATTTAGTATGTATATATATATACAGTATATAAGCATTTTACACGAATCATTTAGTTTTTTAATCACTTTAGTGCTACAAAATTTCATATCTAGCTGAGCAGTTACATATTACGCTGTGTACATAATATGGTAATGTTTTATTGGTTTCTTATACCTGTTTCTATGGCAGAAAACTGAACGCGAATATCAGCATCAGTGTAGAACTGAAATTGATCACATATTTGCTTGAATGTGAATCATACCTTAACTTCCAGGTGGTTGAATGCATCTCTCTAACAAAGAATGCCTGTAGTTTGATCAGTGAGTGCTGGCCCATTTGATGGCAGATGACCCAGGAACTCAGAATTTTAAGTAAAAGTTGATATAATAAAAATGTAAATAGATCATTAAAAAAATAATCTTTGTGTTTGTGCTAAAAACTCTTCTAAGTGTGATTAATATTAGACAATGAGGCTGCTCATTTTGTATTTAAAATCTCAGTTTGAAATGACAGTGCCACAAATTCAACAGTCATTTGATGACTTGCTGCAGAAAACTCTGTATTTCTTAAAGGTTAATTGGCAATTTCAGTCAAATCTTCAAAAGGTAAAATGCCCCAGGCCAAGTCCCTGAGTTTGTGTGCTCTCCTGTGGTGAGCACTCGGAGAATGGATGGACGCAATAGCTCCTCTTACCCATTATTCTTCAGAAGGAGAATATCTAAAGGCACACTGCTAGAGCCCCACACATGGTTTGCAGCTGTTCACTGTGGATTTACTTAGAGATAAATGCAGTAGCGTTTACAAGAGCTGTTAAACTCAGTCGTTTCTTTTAATTAGAATTTAAGATTTTCAGTGATGCATATTGTGAAGGGTGACTGCGGATGTTTGATAGGATGTTTATATTTTTATACATGTAGATAACAAACCACTTGCTCATTCTTATTTTCACATGTATAGCATTGAAAATAAAGATCCTCCTAGGAAAATGTTGCGTACCAAATTAAATTGTTGTTCTTTAAATATTAACTTGGTTGTGTGATTCATGCTGTCCTTTTTACTCTAGTAAAGATGTTGTTGGCTTTGCACTCTGTTCACAGTGTCATAGCCATTCAACAAATACTTGTAGCTAATAAATAAAACAGGAACATCGAACCAAGAATGAGGATTTCTAGTAACAGCCGTAGCACGATAAACAGAAATGTATAATGCTCTGAGCATTTTAAGTGTCACAGAGAATTTTTGTGGTACCACTCAGTATAAATCCATCCTCAGGGAACCATAGTGAATAAATAGTTTAATTTGAAAAGCACAAAACGTTAACGTAAGATGCCCATGTTTTTTAAGAAACTAATTAAATATAATTAACTTAGATATAATAATTATTTAATGAAGGAAGCTTTAATACTCAAGGAAAGATCTGAGAGAAATGCACTTGGAAACTGCTATGGAACAGAAGGGTGATGGTGTTGGCTACCCTGTGAACTCCAATAAACTGTTACAAACCCAGTGGAGTGTGCTGTGGTCAGATTCGTTGCAGGTTAGTAATGCCAGTCAAAACCACTTGTGTGAAGCATCTGTGTTTAATGGAGGTTTTCTTGGGTAGAATGGTTACAATGCAACAGAATTAACTGAAGGCCCCCAGCACAAGAAAGACAACTCTTGGAGCAGGTCCAGAGGAAAGCCATTAAGATCAGAGGGCTGGAGCACCTCTCCTATTAAAAAAGGTTGAGGGAACTGGGCTTATTTAGCTTGTAGAAGAGAAGGCTCCAGGGAGACTTCATTGCAATCTTTCAGTACTTGAAAGGAGCATATAAACAGGAGGGGGAACAGCTGTTTACAAGGGTGGATAGTGATAGGACAGGGGGAAATGGTTTTAAACTGAGACAGGGGAGGTTTCAGTTAGATATTAGGAGGAAGTTTTTCACCCAGAGGGTGGTGACACGCTGGAACAGGTTGGCCAAGGAGGTTGTGGATGCCCCATCCCTGGAGGCATTCAAGGCCAGGCTGGATGTGGCTCTGGGCGCATCCAGTGGTTGGCAACCCTGCACACAGCAGGGTGTTGAAACTAGGTGATCGTTTTGATCCTTTTCAACCCAGGCCATTCTATGATTCTATGATTCTATGAAGGAAGTTTCGTCAAGTCATCTGATGAGTTGATAGTATTTGAGAGCTTTGTTGTTACATAACAGTACAAGAAAGGAGGTTGTTTCATTATTTAGCAGAACTTTGTGCCTGTCTTTCTACAAAGTTAGCTCTCATTTCATTTGCGTCACCACTTCAAATGTTTAGCCACACTACTTTCATTTTACTTCTATGGGTAAAAGATGATACCTTCTTTGATATCTGCCATACTGAGGGTTATGGCTGAATTCTATCTTTTTCCCTCAGTGAACAACTGCATTTTTCCCATTCCTTTATCCAGCCATCAGTATTTATGGATTTTGTAAGAATGCAACATCTGTGAGGTTTCTTAGTTCTTTCAATTTTCTTTGAAATTACCCATGAGCTCAGAAGTTATTAAGGAGGGCAGATGTTCAACCAAACAGACAATGCGTGAACCTTTTTCCTTAGGGAAAATAGGCTAACAACAAATTACTATAATTAATGCTTGGCACTGTCTATATAAAATCTTTTGTCAAAGGGAGACACAGTAGTCTAAGCATAGATTGAGGAGGTGAATGTCCATGCCTACTTTTGTGACACTGGCCAGTCAACCAAATGAAGGGGTGCATTAGAATGGCTTGGAACTTTATCCAGCCTCTAGATTTCTGCAGTGCTTTTAAGTGAGGCTCTGACAGCTGTGAGTCTTGTTAGAACAGCCTTTCCTGGCTGG